ATAAATTAAAAAAAAAATATGTATTAGTCAACTGTTTATGTTATTGACAAGGCTTCTGATCAACAGTGGGCTATTAGTAGTTGGGTTTATAGGGAGTTAGGTTATACATGGAATTCCAACTGTGTGGGGGTTGGCACCCCTAAGGCCTGTGTTGTTCAAGGGTCAAGTATAGTGAAATTGGCTGCATCAACTCCCTTTCATCAACTATTTCTCTCTAGCATGCAGTGTTGTTTGACAACACTTTACCCATTAGTAGAACTTCTTTCAAAATTGGAGTAAATCCTCTCAACCCTGCTACTGCTTTATTGACTAAGTTTACGTAATATTCTAAATCCTTTGCTGTCATTTCTACAATCTTCACAGAGTCTACACCAGGAGTAGGTTCCATCTCAAGAAACCACTTTATCTCTTGCAGCAATGCAGTCACATTGTCAGGCTCCACTTCTAATAATGGTTCTCTTGCTCTTTCCATCACATCTGCAGTTACTTCCTCCACCGAAGTCTTGAACCTCTCAAAGTCATCCAGGAAGGTTGGAATCAACTTCTTCCAAATTCCTGCTCATGTAGGTATTTTGACCTCATCCCACAAATCTGAATGCTCTTCATGGCATCTAGAATGGTGAATCCCTTCCCAGAAGGTTTTCACTTTTCTTTGCCCAGATCCATCAGAGTAATTCATAATCTATGGCAGCTGTAATCTTATGAAATATATTTCTTAAATAAGAAGACTTCAAAGTTGAAATGACTCACTGATCCATAGGCTACAGAATGAATGCTGTGTTAGCAGGCATGAAAACATTAATCTCATTCTCCATCTCCATTAGAGCTCTTGAATGACCAGGTGCATCCTCAACGAGCAGTAATATGAAATGAATCTTTTTTTCTGAGCACTCAGTCTCATCAGTGGGCTTAAAATGTTCAGTAAACCATACTGTAAACAGATATGCTGTCTTTAGGCTTTGTTCTTCCATTTACAGAGCAGACGCACAGTAGATTTATCATAATTTTTAAGGGTCCTAAGATTTTCAGAATGATAAGTGAGCACTGTCTTCAACTTAAAGTTACCAACTGCGTTAGCACCTAACAAGTTAGTCAGCCTGTCCCCTGAAGCTTTGAAGCCAGGCATTGACTTCTCCTCTCTAGCTATGTAAGTCCTCGATGGCATCTTACTCCATTAGGAGGCTGTTTCATCTACAATGAAAATCTGCTATTTATTGTAGTCACCTTCATTAATGATCATGGTTAGATCTAAGATAACTTGTAGCTTCTACATCAGCACTTAGCTGTTACCAAGACAGCTTCTTTCCTTAAACCTTAGGAACCAACCTCTGCTAGCTTCAAACTTTTCTTTTGCAGCTTCCTCACCTCTCTCAGCCTTCACAGAATTGAAGAGTTAGGGTTTTGCTCTGGAGCAGGCTTTGGCTTAAGGGAATGTTGTGGCTGGTTTGATCTATCCAAACCTCTAAAACTTTCTTCATATCAGCAGTAAGGCTGTTTTGCTTTATCATTCATGGGTTCACTGGAACAGCACTTTTAATTTCCCTCAAGAACTTTTCCTTTGCATTCACAACTTGGCTGTTTGGCACAAGAGGACTAGCTTTCTCCCCCTCACTTGAACACTTAGAGGCCTTTGTAGGGTTATTAATTGGCCTAATTTCAATATGGTTATGTCTCAGGGAATAGGGAGGTCTAAGGAAAGGGAGAGAGATGAGGGAACAGATGGCTGGTAGAATGGTCAGAACACAAACAATATTTATAAATTAAGTTCACCATCTCATATGGGCACAGTTCATGGCACTCCTAAAACAATTACAACAGTAACATCAAAGATCACTGATAACCATAATAAATATAATAATGAAAAGATTTGAAATACTGTGAGAATTATCAAAATATGACATACAGACATAAAGTGAGCAAATTCTGCTGGAAAAATGGTGCTAATAGAAACGCTCAACACAAAGCTGCCAAACCTTCAACTTGTAAAAACTGAAACATGTGCAAAGTGCAATAAAATGAGGTAAGCCTATACTGACACTGAAATGCATGACATCACAAATTAGCATAAGTCTTCTACTTCTGTCTTCTTTTGAAGAAACCAACATCCTCAAATAAATGTTACATTGGGATTGAGACACAGACAAGAGCTCCTTACCAACTATTCCTCACAATGTCATAAATCCAGAATGAATTTCTGACATTCTCCTCCCTCTTTTCTTTGTCTTTGCTGAGTCCAGATAAGACATGTATTTCATTCAGTTCTGGATCAATGGTTGCTCTCTGTGTGAATCCTGTCATTGGAACTATAAATTGAGAGAAAATAAGATGACAACATTCATGTTAAATGACAGAGTAGAACCACTGTATAAAAGATACACCCTTGCCCTCTCCCTGTGTCCATGGCACTTACCTTCTAACATTACTACAGAACTTTTATATTACACAATAAATAACTGTTTATTGCATTCTCCCCACTCTAGAATGTAAACTGTACAAGGCAGAGGTAGTTCGGTTCACTATTTAGTTCCCAATGCCTGGCAAGTAGTTACCCAACTATTTGTTGAAAGAATAAACAGATGCTAACTACCAGGAAGGAGCTACAATGAGGGAAGAAGTAGAAAGAGGTATGCAATATAATCATTTTTACTGAGGAAAGAAAGGTCAATGCTTTAATTAACTGATTTTTTATCTCAGTCAGCTCTAATTTAATAGTAGAGGTAAAATATTCAAATGTTGACCTGGAAAAACACAAATTTGACAGAAAGTGAAACACAGGTTTGTTTAATAAGGCCAGGGTCATGTAAAATATCTGTTCGTGACATACAATGAAATGACACAATTTCCAAGTAAAAATAAAACACTTTGGGGTATAATACGCCATTTTGTTTTCCTGAATGGTTAAAACTGCCCAGAGTTAATAATATTTTATTTTTCTAAGAAATCCACTAAATGAGTGACTGTCATTCTGCATTATCCAGTAATTTGCAAAACACTAACACAGCAAACGCAAATTTTTCTCATCATTGTTATATGGAAATATTAGTTGAAATGTAATTTTGTGGGTCATGACATAATTGCCATGAATCTAATACAATGTCATTGTTTCAACACTACATTTCTTTTATACATGAACAATCATCATATGCTCAAAATGCTAAACAATTATCAGACTGAAGTAAAATATTTCAATCAATCCAGAATATTATGGCAGGAGACATTAGCCACATTGATCTTCATTTGTCTTTATCTACTTTAGCAGGGCCAAATGATCTGGCATTTATTTTTTTCCTAGTTTACCTAAATTCATGTGTCCTTTCACATTCCTATTCAATAAATTTGTTTGTGGAGTATTTTATTTTTTTTATTATACATTTTACATTTCTTTTTTAAGATTTTATTATTTGAGAAAGAGAGGGATTGAGAGATTGAGAGAACAAGAGGGAGGAGGGGCAGAAGAAGAAGCAGACTCCCTGTGGACCAGGGAGCCTGATACTGGCCTGATTCCAGGACCTTGGGATCATGACCCGAGCCGAAGGCAGATATTCAATCAACTGAGCCACCCAGTTGCCCCTGTTTGTGGAGTATTTTAAGAGACTACCCAATGCATTTCACAGTAAATATGATAAAAATAATACACACACACACATAACACAAATATGTTTATATTTATACACACATGCACATGGACCTAATCTTATTTATTTGACAGAGACAGACACAGCGAGAGAGGGAATACAAGCAGGGGGAGTGGGAAAGGGAGAAGCAAGCTTCCTGCCAAGCAGGGAGCCCGATGTGGGGCTTGATCCCAGGACCCTGGGCTCATGACCTGAGCCGAAGGCAGACGCTTAACAACTGAGCCACCCAGGCACCCCCTCATGGACCTAATCTTAATAATAATCTCAACCCTCATGCCATGGTCTTTAGTGGTTAAGTCTGGTATTTTCCTAATGACGCTTTCTAAAGTGCCAAGGTTCTGCCCTTCTGTTCCTCAGATAACCTTGGAAGATAAAACAGTAAAGAAATGAAATCACTTTTGTTAGTGGTAGAAGTAGAGGACATAACTGTATTGTATTTAAAATTTATTGTATTTAAATTTCTTCATTCCATTTCATCTTAATACTGAGCCTTTAAATTAAGAATTCTCTAAGATGGGTTGGCAAACTGTGGCTTGATCCGGCCTGCCTAGGGTCAAAGCAGGCCTCATCCATTCATTTACATTTTGTCTGTGGCTGTTTCCACGTTAAGATAGCAAGGTAACACTTGCAATACTGTATGTATGGCTTACAAAACTGAAAATATTTACACCTAGCTCTTCATATAAAAAGTGTGCTAACCCCTGTTCTATAATCTTTTAAAATGTGAATATCAGAAATGTATGACTTTTTTTCTTTTTTTTTAAGATTTTATTTATTTATTTGACAGAGACACAGCTAGAGAGGGAACACAAGCAGGGGGAGTGGGAGAGGAAGAAGCAGGCTCCCCACTGAGCAGGGAGCCCGAGACAGGGCTCAATCCTGGGATTCCAGGATCCTGACCTTAGCTGAAGGCAGACACTTAACAACTGAGCCACCCAGGCGCCCCTGAAATGTATGACTTATTATAAACTAATGCAACAAGCCACTTACCTTAAGTAAGGACCCACTGAGGAAATGGAAATTTTGGCGGAAACCTTCACACAGATATTAGGGAAGACAGCCTGGTGGACAAGATGCACCATGCATTTATACAACATCCCTGGTCAGTGTCTTATGTAAGGGAGAAGCCGGCTGGGAAAGATGCCTACCCTAGGCACAGGAAGTTACTGTTGATTACCTTTCTTAACAGATGTAGTCCTTTTTTTTTTTTCATATGGTTTCACTTATTTGTGGAACATAAGGAATAGCAAGGAGGACATTAGGAGAAGGAAGGGAAAAATCGGGGGGGAACTGGAGGGAGAGACGAACCATGAGAGACCATGGACTCCGAGAAACAAACAGGGTTCTAGAGGGGAGGGGGAGGGGGGACGGGCTAGCCCGGTGATGGGCACTAAGGAGGGCACGCACCGCACGGAGCACTGAGCGCCATACGAAAACAATGGATCGTGGATCACACCAAAAACCAATGATGTACTGTATGGTGACCAACACAACATAATAAAATTAAAAAAACAAAACAAAACAAAAAAAAACTAGTGAAAAGCAAAGGGACCCAGAAACCTTTTTTTAAGTGAACATTAGCCTTTGAAATGGAAGCCTAAATGGAAATGTATTACAGAAATTGACTATATTCTTTCTACAAGTTTTTGCTATCACATTTATAGTCAAGAGATCCTGCTTAGAATTAGTAGGTTGTATTAATTGGCCCCTTTAGGGAAAGAAATGCTATCATTTGCCCCAGTTGAAGACTTGCTATGTAAATTTGCCAATGGGCCAACCGGGTGTTTTGAAACATTGATACCACACTTTTGCTTTGTGCAGATGAGAGTGATTTGGTGACTCGATTTTTATATGAAATCTTGAGAATTCTGTGATTTTTTTTTTAAAGTAGGCTCCATACCCAACGTGGAGCTTGAACTCATGACCTTGAGATCAAGAGTCACAGGCTCTACTGATTAAGCTAGTCAGATGCCCGAAGAATTCTTTGCTTTTTAATGTGGGTGTTAATATCAATCAGGCACAGATGTAGTCCTTTATTCATAGATTCTAATATATAGGTAGGAATCACATATGAGAAAAATTTCAACAGTGTAAAGACAGGGGCCTAGATAAACATATAGAATGGGAAAAGATAAATCACAGAAAGAAACAACCTGAAAAAAAAACAAACTCATTATCTTTGTAAAGAGTAAAAAGAATATTACATCTATAAAACAAGAACAAGCTTCCTCCATAAAAAGGAATAGAAGATATGATATAAAAAAGTAAAACTATGACCAAAAAAATCAGATGACAAAATGAAAAGAAAAATGAGCTAACTAGTTAAAAGGAAGTCAGCGGCTGTAGGATAAAAATGATAAACTACCAGTAGAGCAAAAAATACAGAAATTATTATAGAAAAGTTACAGCACACAGAGGATAAAACCACTGAAGTAAGAAATCTCCCTGAGAAGAACACTCAGGAGAGGTGAAATAACATAGGAGGAAAAAATAATTAAAGAAAATCTCCCTGAATGGAAGAAACAAGTAAGTGTCCTGTTTGAAAGAACCCTAGGTTAGCTAAGCATGTTTTACAAAAAAACAAACAAAAAAAACCCCTTTATATATAGGTATTCCCCGCTTTTTGAAAGTTTTCATTACACCACTTTGCTTCTATGAAAGATCTATATTAGTACTTGTTTTAGCTAACTGAAAGAAATCTGAGGATTTTCACTTTATGAAAAAAAGATGAAGAGCAGAAACAGCATTCAGCGTTTGTTTTGAGTGAGCTCTTACAGAGACAGCACACCTTCCCCAGGAACTACACCCAGCCTCTCTGCATCAAGCTGCCACAGTTGTGAACTGTGTGTATGAGTGTTTGTGCTTTAGCTCAATTTATTTTGTGCCTCAGTTAGCAAGATGTGTCCTAAGATATCAGAGAAGTTTGAGAGAGAGGTTGTTTTTTGGGTCTGGGAAGACTCAAAATTTTTCCTTATAAATAAGTGGTACTTGCTTCTTTGCTTTATACCATTTTGGCTTACCAAATGCTACTTTTGGATAGTGGGAGAAATAGAAAGAGACAGAGATCTCCTAATGAAACTTTAAAACTCCAGGAATAAAAAGAAAAATTTTAAAAGCTTCTAGAGAGGGGGAAAAAGCAGGTTATTACACACAGAAGAATAAGTATCAGACTTATTAGACCTTTTATCTGTTAACAATGAATGCTAGAATACAATGGAATAATAACTAAAATTCTGAGGAATATAAAAAGATACAGAATTAAAATTCTATTTCCAACAGTGAGGGCAAAATAAAGGAATTTTTGGATCAGCAGAAATATGAAAATTTGTATCAATGACTGCATATGAAACAATTCTTTGAGGAGCTATTCCAACAAAACAAAACTAAAAAGGAATCCAAGAAAAGGAATGACATGGGATGTGAGAAACAGTGGCAGTAATAGATGACACAGGAAAGCAAAAGGAAGCTTGAAAGAAAATAAAGATCCATTAGATCTTGAGCCTTTATAAGACATTTGGAATGAAAAAGTTTTAATACAGAGTATTTTTTCACCTGTAAGTCCAATAACAATACCTGAATTATATATGGTGCCCCATTCCCCCTCCCCCATTATACTTTCATTGTTTAGAATTTTGGTCCTAGTGTTTTTCTTTTGGCAACAATCAATT